CAATGCAGTCTATTTACCCCAAACCTAGCAAATTAATATTTTATCGAACTGATATGTGAGTAGCTGTTTAACAACTGCGCAAACCCGATATCTGTATTCTATTCTACAATCATGTGACACGAATTCGACTCGAAGCAAGTCAGACGGCGACTTAGAATTGTGTTAAAGCACCTGTTAAACACTCCAAGGAATATTGCGAGCTATACATATAGCTTCACGAAGCTTTAGTGAGTCAGTGAGTTTAGTTTTACGCCGCTTTTAGCAATATTCCAGCAATATCACGGCGGGGACACCAGAAATGGGCTTCACACATTGTGCACATGTGGGGAATCGAACCCGGGTCTTCGGCGTGATGAGCGAACGCTTTAACCACTAGACTACCCCACCGCCCCTCACGTAGTTTTAATTGCTGTGCATAGGTTATACGACTATCAAAACAAAACAACAACTATGGATATTATCACTCTATCTACGTCTGCCAATCCTGCTACTACAACTACGGCGACGACTCGTATTACCACTACAACAACTACTATTATCACTAGAAGCAAGAATCACTTGAATGAGGAATGACTGACTGACTGAGTTTGGTTTTTACGCCGCTTTTAGCAATATTCCAGCAACATCGCGGCGGGGGATACCAGAAATGGGCTTCACACATTGTACCCATGTGGGGATTCGAACCCGGGTCATCGGCGTGACGAGCCAACGCTTTAACCATTAGGCTACCCCACCGCCCCGAATAAGAAATGAGATGGGGAGGGGTGGGAAAAGATGGAGAGAAGAGGGGAGGGGAGCATTCATGTCTTTATTTATTCATTGAATTATTTATATTGCGTAAATCCTCTTGTAGGGCCATGCATGAGAAGTCTTATTACCTTTGTTATAATAAAGATTTCAAAATATCACATGTATATCTGTAACTACAATAGATCCCCAGTAGCGTGTAGGCCCGTTCTTATATACAGTTAAAACATATGCTGGGGAGATATACCAGTGTATACATACTGATCCAGTGTTCATTCATTTAGTGGTTAGAGCGTCCGCCCGGAGAGCGGAAGGTCGCGGGTTCGATCCCCGACCGCGCCATACCAAACGACGTTAAAACATGGTACTTGTTGGTCCCAGCCTGGCACTAGGCATTAATGGGTACAACAAGGACTGGTCGGCTCGGAGTCAGTATAATGTGTCTGAGTGGGGTATTCATGCTTCACTGCGGCATGGTATCTCAGTGGGCTAGCACTATAAAACCAGCTGAAGTCTGGGCTAGTACAAGCAGCCGCACATACACATACACACGCATGCACGTCGTCATATGAGCGAAATATTCTCAAGCACGACGTTAAACCCAATTTCACCTCACCTCACCTCATTTGTTTGATCTAAGCATATCTTACTGTCATCTCGAATACAGACACGTGCTGTACTTATTTACAACAATATAGGTAACACCTTGTCATCTATTTCAAACCTGAAGTGACTGAAACGCAAAGATATTCAGCATATTCATATATATGCATATTCAGCCGAATAAAAAAGTTAATGATCATTGATATTTTATTGAATTCGTTTATGCAACTGTGAGCTGAGTCTTCAGAACAAACTGTTTTTGATCACTATACATATATGAATAAAGTGACCCAGGATTTTTATGATATTGAGAAACGTGTTCCTAAGCCTTATTACATCTTGTACAAAATATAATATATCGCAATAAAATTGATACACGAACATACGTTTATTTTTTAAATTATGCACAATAAACTCTATCTGTTTTAAATGTATGATTGATCGCACCTGTCAACTATCAGTTGGTTCCTTTGTATATTACTTAATCCTGCATGCTCTTTTTATAATCGGTAAATAAAAATACCCCGGGGATGCTGGTTTGATAATTAAATAGTTACAATATTAACGGTTAATAATGATTACGATAGCCTCCTGTGACAACGATATCAAAAATAACTTTGCAAGTTTCTATACTGCAAATCGAAATACGATTTTCATTTTTTTTTAAATGTTTCTTTTTGTGGTATCCACAGTGTGGTGTTGAATACCGATTCTGATCTGTGGGTTGAATTACACAACCTGCTGTCCCCTGTCTGCATCACAGCGTGATGTCTGAAAACACAAACACGCACAGAGGGAAACACAACGCTCGTCTATTTAGGAGAAAATATAATTCAATCCATTGAGTTGCATTTCACAAACATTTAGATCTAATTTTCCCCAGAGGCAAAACTACATCGATTTTAGGACTTGAAAGCCAACCCGCATAACCATGATTCGAGGATTCAAGGAGTGGGATTCGTACAATGAAATGTACACTCTTTATTTACAAAAGTGAGACTATGCTCCATTTTAACTGAAAATTGCGTGGCATGTTGCAATGTTCTATTGACTGCAGATTAAATTAATGACGAGAGAAATAAGCGAGTTCGTGTCTACCCGTTATGTAATACTATAATATTGCCACAGCAGCTACGTCTGGCCATGAGTTATCTTGTTTTGCCACCACTGTTCTGCTTTGTTTTGCCACCGCCATTCAGCTCGTCCTTGCTGAGAATGATAAGTAAAAAATTAACACTTATGTGTTTTTGCCCTATCAAAACTGAATGTGTATATGACCAACAGAAACCCAATGACGTAGCACTACAAAGCGTACGTTTCGGGGAACACGTCGAATTTTGTTCCTGGTTTAATGAGGGTTTCGTAATTAGACAGAGAACATCTGTTGCAAATGATATGTTTAAAGCGAAACGTCGCTTAATTTTCATGGCGTTTTCGACGTGGGACTGAACGTAAATTTTTAACGTCCCCCGCGTAACGATCTTTTTGTGGGATCGTTGAAATCTGTTTACCTGTATTAATATCGAAATTAATATTAATTTTAAATTTGCATGCCAAAATATATTAACAAGAAGAATGAAATTTGAGCTGACGATTGTTAGCTTAATGGGTGTCTGTACTTTTGTATTACGCCAGGCTTGTAAGTTTCACTTCATGAATTACAACGAACTTGTCAACTATGACTGTGGCCTCGTCTATTTCGTGACCATGTTATTCTGGAACAGGCCCAACACTTACCGTTGTGAGGACAGCTACCCTCTGATAAGCAGTATTTATGGAGATAATGGTTGTAAAACTATTTTTCAAGGAGTCACAGAAATATATTTATACTATGAGCCGAGCAAAGGTCCTTGGAGCGAAATTCAAGGTTTAAGACACATACACAGAATTCAGGGCGAGGTACATTGTCCTGATGAGTGAGTGAAAATGGATTTACATCGCTTTTAGAATTATTCCAGCAGTATCACAGAGGGGGACACCAGAAAAGGGCTTCACATATTGTACCATGTGGGGAATCGAACCCGGGTCTTCGGCGTGACGAACCAACGCTTTAACCACTAGGCTACCCCACCGCCCTTGTGCTGATGAAAGAGGCTTCCTCGAACGAATATTGAACCGTGGGCGTCAACACAAAGTGTAGATTAAGTCACTTTTAGGAATACATACACCTGCTTGTATCGAATATATCGGTATTTGTCTCAGAAGAGAAGAAGTCAGTATTGTTTTGCGCCGCTTTTAGCAACATTCCAACAATAGCACTGATTGGCACACAAAGAACGTGCTTCACGTGATTTGTGTCCATGAAACTGACGAACAATAATGTGTCATTAAAACATTCTGCTACAGAGTCTGCTTCGATAAAGAATGGGATTCTCGTTTTTTCAACTATTCGGTTCAAACATACGGGCTAGTATAATCCCGAGTGATGTTTGTGCACATTCAATAGACAAATGACCCACATGTGAGCCATGCGGGAAGCTTACTCACGAGACGCACTTGACGCACGGGTTGACCCTTGAAATGTACAAATTAACTCTTGTAGTTAATCAAAGTGGGTCATACCACACTTTTAGATAACCTTTCGCCTATATTATATTCTGCGATGTCTATTGCTCAGAGAAGGAAAATGTGATATTGGGTCGAACTATTTCCACATAAATTAAAGAATCAATTATCTAAATAGGAGGTTGTCCAGTATATGTTCACGGTCATTGGGTCGATAGACTTTTAAAAATGATGATAATGATTAAGATATTCTTTTATTACTTTTTCTTAAACTATATATTGATTAAGGAGCTGCATACGTATCCATTTATTACATTTTACACTTTAAAATTATAATATGTAATATTTATTTAATAATATGCATGCCTACTTAATTAAATAACAATACTAAGAGACATGCCTTATAAGAGCACTAACAACGTCATATGCAATCAGCGCTGCTGATTAATCTTGCGGCCGGCGACAAAAAGCGACCAAACTACTTTCCTAATTACAAGTAATACCTGTCTAAAGTGGCGGCTTCTCTTTGATTGTGTTTATGATTCTCCACCAGCTTTGTCATGTTAATAATGATAATAGATCTACGCTATCGGAACGTACGGGTACTAGATATACTATCGCAAAACTATGCAATACTTTTTCGTTATTGCGACATTGTATTATATGAAATATGGCAACGCTAATTCAATGGCGAAACTGCCCTCGATTTGTAACCTTATATAGTGTGGTAATCACGTCAACATGGATATATTTTTACCTGTTTTGTTATTTGGGTTTTATCTTCCCTTCCCATAAATCTGGTATTTTATAACCATTGTTCCAGAATCTGTGTTGCATCTTATAATTTTTTTATGAATTTGAGTAAATCTTTACATTAATTTGGTTATTAAATCGATGTGAATATGAACTGCTGGACAGTAAACAGACAGAATACGCTTGATTTGACCAACATGTTACAGACGTTATCAAAAGTTACTAGGCTGAAAACCACAAAATCAAATTATGAAAGCACAATTATGAAATACATCACCATCGATTTCTTGTTTGTTTCAGCTGTAGACACGTGGGTGTATACTGTGTTTTGCCTGGCAGTTGTTTTGAGAATTTGGTAATAACGAAAGCACGTATATACTAGTAATACTTACTCCATACTCTTTGCAGGTAGTCACGTGACGCCAGGGTGTGTCGAGCATCGCCAGGGGTGGGGAAGAGTGGGGGAGGGAGGAAGGGGTTTGGTGGGGAACACGGAGGTTTGGGGAAATGGGGAATCGTTCAGAGACATTGTCTGGAAGAGAAAACAAAATCATCATCATAATAATAATTATAAACAGATTCGTAAACAGACAGGTTTTATATTCCAGTTTGATAGTTCAGCCATTCCATATGGATTTATAAAAGTCATTAAAATCACTAAAATATACCAGTGTCAGTGAGTGTATTCAGTAACTATTTACAGCATAAACGTATAAATATAAATAGGGATGCGTTGTCTTATAATATCATCCCAGGGTTTGGTTGTTATAAAAGAAACGGTGAAATTAGACAGTCCAAATTGGACTTTTTGATATATTAAAATCAACAACAACTTCATTACATTAATTAAACGGGAGAGTGTAGGGGACAGAGCAGTAAACATGATATCCAATACAACAGAAACATGTTCTGTCCCCCGGAGAAGGGGGGGGGGGAGGGGCACCGTGCTGTACAGAGCTTCAACCCCTAAGAACGCCAAAACATTATAATCGTGGGTTCGATTCCCGTTTCGCCCAGATTATGTTTCTGGGACTGTCGGCACCACCCCCCTGCTGGTTGTTTCAAGGGATTAACGTCTGAGACTTGCATCCCTGATACAAAGTCTTCCTTTCATCGAGCTGACAGTCGTGTTCGAACTTTAACTCCGCTTAAATTAATCAGCCCATAACGTATTCGCATCGTGATAGAAGTACCCCCCCTGCGTAATTTAATTCCTTAAAAATCTCAAATATAATACATGTATATGATAAATATGATAATTTCTCCTCGTGAAATCTAACTTTGAGAAATGTAAACAAGCATTCTAGACGTTAGGAGTAAACAAGGACGCATATCACTTTATGATAAGAACTTCTTGTTTATTGCAAAGGACGATGTTTCCATGTGTATCCTTATATCGTTATCAGGTGTTCTTTAAGTTAAATCGAAACAATCCCTACATGCTGTAGATACATGTATGAGCACAGTGAAGATGACGTATATGAAATCACATTCATCAGCTGTTCCATCATAAAGAAAATAGCAACAAACAAGCTGTATATAAACGTAAAAAGGACATTCAAAACACGTGAAATGTGTTCAGTGATATGAAGAAATAACATAACTGTAATTTATAACAACACCATTATGAAACTACAGCAAACATATATATTTTCTGAGTACATAAGAATTACGTTGGCATGGAATGTTTTAAAACAGAGTTGAAAAGTTAATTTTTACAGACCAGCCTCTAATATCACTACGCTTCAAACTGAAAAATTGGCTGAATAAATGCGCAGTTTATAGAATATAAAGCGGTTAACCAACAGTCGTTTGAAATGTTACATATGTAAGAATATCGTGTAAATTAAATATATTTTTATATATGCATATTTCAAAACTAACAATCCCTACAATTCAAGTATATGACAAAGTACTTACTTTGGCGGCGTGAAGGCAGTGCCGGTAAACTGACAATATGACTATTTAATTGTGTTAATCATGACTTTATACACGTAGACGCTTGTCCTCATCGATTATCCTCCGCTTGTCTACCTGTAGCTGGAGCAATCAACAGGTGCGCTTTTAGCCACGCCCCTTGAGCCGACTAGACACGCCCCCGCTGCGACCGTGTCAAAGTAATGTGGATATTCCACGCTAAATAAGTCACCCAAATGGAGATCGCCTGATACGATACTGACCACAGGATGATGACAATATTAATGGTCATCATTTAGCTGACCATGATGAGCCTCGCACGCGCTGAGCAGCGTGACAGTTTATCAATAGCCGTGACTTCCAGCCAGGGAGAGCAATTACTGGTACAAGAATATTTTGCTAATAAGTCGATTGAAAGGCGATAAAACTGTCACGTATAAACGAGTTTGATATTTTCTGCTAAATTTGCAATCAATCACGGAAAGTTTGACGGCTACACATTGTTTGACAAAATATATTGTTTGGGTAATTTCTTTAAATACATTAGACCAATATGTAAATAGTTAGATATATAAACATGCAAATGACAACATATTTGATACGGACAATAAAACTAACCGATATCGTGTTGTTGACTATAATAGTTTTACCGTTTCCAGAATCATTCTGTGAGTAGGAACAGGCATACCAAAGAAATGAAATCGAATCAAACAATAAATTAGAACTCGAAATAAAAATATTTTAAAAAGTGTTTATATTTTATTTCAATAGTAAACAAACTGAAGTCTTGTCCCCGATAATATATGATTTTATAGAAACTCGAAACTATTTTAAATTTTAAAAGTGCCCCAGTGAAATTGAAGAGACGGAACCAGCAGACAATCTGGACTCTAGGGTCTGTCATGAAGAGAAATGCCCATCGCTCGGGGAGTGTAGGGCAGATTAAAACAAACACAAGACTTTTCGTGTTTAAGGCCAGTGGGAACTTTCTCAATCAATCAGTCAATCCTTACTGACTCCGAAACCACCTACGGTGGTGCAAGAGCAAAACACAAAACAGATATATTACACATAATGCATGTGTCTTAGTAACTATTTCTTAACGAGATTTGTAAAATATTTATGAATCTAGACAGGCATTTCAGTTATTTTGTGCATTTAGGTGTCAAAATTGTACAAAAGTTATATACATTTGGGTATTGATAATATAGTTTGGGAACATACAATAATCTGGTTGGGAGAAGAGCTTCACGTCTCAGGATGTAATGGAACTCATCTCCCATTACATTTTGGTTGCATGGTTTACATAAACGAACCACACCCCCACCCCTCCACACACCCCCACACCCCCACCACACACCCCCAATGCCCTGCCACCGGCCAGTCTCTATGGGTAGGTTATGATTTGAAGTGCGGAATATTAGAATACGGATAGAGACAGACTAAGGTTATATATAGTAAGTATTGTTCAAATTGTACTGACTTTTTAAAATGTTTGTAAAGAAAGCCCCCAGAGCTAGATTCAATGTTTTCTCTACATTTTTGGTAGAACTGGTCTGACAGAATTTGTCCTGCTCTAGATACTAGCCAGGGAGTAGACCAAAGCGAGGGATCTACAAATATTCCACTTATATAGTCCGATATTGTTTAGCTTAGTTTGAATAAAGCATATCCAGGGATAGCCATTTAGACACTGTTGATGTTTGGTCAAAATACAGTTACACACGATTTGTGACAGTTTTAAGTTTTCGATACAGGGATAAGTAAGTTTATGCCAAAATGATAACATGCGTTGGAATATCTTTATATAAAGTGGGATTCAACCCAGTTCACCATAGATCATAAAATTTGGTGTAGATTTACGAAGTCCATTCGCAATTTTAAGAAATTTTAAATGTAGATTTTCAGTCAGGTTTAAATTTTCGTTTCCCCAGATTTCTGAACCATACGTTAACATTGGTAGAATCATCGTATCAAAAGCACATAAGAGACAGTCAAGTGGTAAATCTATATTGAATGATCTCTAAAGTAAGCTGTATATAGCCTTTGTTGCGTTTTCAACAATGGATTAAATACATGTAACCATCCTTTTATTTCGATGAAGTTTTGTGCCTAGATAAATACATGTATCAACTATTTCAATATTATTATCTCCATAGTTAAAGAACAATTTAGTTTTATTCGCTGGACCTCCACCAAATATCACAACTTAGTAATATTGACTTGTAATTTCCATGGTTTACAGTAGTTTTCAAACGTATCACGTGATTTCTGTAAATCACGTGGGGTCTCTGCGAACAAAAAAGTATCATCAGCATAAAGGAGTAGAAGTAATGTAATCCACCCCAGTACTTGATCACGTGTGGAATGAACACTGATACCTTTGCACACATTTTCTGAAAGAGGTCATTCAAGTAAATTGAAAACAGAAGGGGTGATAAATTCTCCCCTGTCGCACACCTGTATTGCAACAGAAGTAATCGGACTTTTTGTTGCTAATTTCAACAACTGATATTAATGTACATGTTTTTAACAAATTCATAAAATCTTCGAAAGATGCCAGATTTCAGTAATTTTGTCCACAAACCAGTTATCCAGACTGAGCCAAAGGCTTTTGTGAAATCTATAAAAGCGCAATATAATTTTCTTTTCCTAAGAGTCAAAATATAAGCTAGCATTTGAAGAACAAAAATATTATATGAAATTGTGAAATGCTTTCTGAAAGCGGCTTGAGCTTGGGTCAAGATATTATTGTTTCTGCATTGAGGATACTCACTGACTGACAATACCAAACAATTTTATATATTTTAAACATATATTTTATATATTTCTCGATGACACAAAATGAGTCTGATTGAGTGTAGTTTGTATATATATTTACAGCAATATTCCAGCAACATCACGGCGGGGGATACCTGAAATGGACTCCATACATTGTACCCGTGTGGGGAATCGAACCCGGGTCTTCGGCGTGACGAGCGAACGCTTAAACCACTAGGCCACCCCACCGCCCCGTCACCAAAGGAGAAGGATATGTCTGGTTTTGCTGACATCTACCAAATATAAGTTCTGTTTTTGCATTATTTACATTGTTTTCTTTTGAGTCATAAACAGTAAATGACCTTAATGAGTTTTGCAATTATAATGAATCATTTCGAAATAGAACTGTGTCATTTGCATAAAGACAGCGTTTACAAGACGAATGGATATATGAGGATACCGCTGCCTGCTCTTACAAGACATTTGAAAATTGGATCTTACCAATCAGTAAGATACATTATCAAAACGTTACTCGGCTGCAAACAGCTGGCGAAACACTGCAAACACACCTAACATTCATGGTACCTGTTTCAAATAAATCGCCACCGAATAACCATTTTTGTTGGAATTATTTTGCCACCAACTAACTTAGGTAAAAATACTTTCTTTCGCACGGCAGTTTGTGTCGAAACTCACCAACCCTTCTTTGTCATCTTGAACAGAAAGATGAAAATATATATTCCCCTCTAAGTTTGAAGAGGTTCTTTCCAATTCAAATGGGTGACCGGAGACGAATTCGTTTATGAGTGAGTGAATTTAGTTTACGCCACTTTTGGCAATGTT